ACGTTGGAGTCGGCATCCACCGGCTGGGAAAGCGGAGACGGGATGGATCCGGACCCGCGCTGGATCCGGACCCGCGCTAACGCTTTCCCCTCGGCTGGTTCACCTCTACCGCGATCACCGGCGCCCGGTGGAAGGAGGCCAAGCGCTGCCGAGCTCGTTAACCGGGGTTAAACGAGCATCCGGCGATGGGGCGACCTCGTAATCTCCGCCGGCAGCTTTTCATCTCCCTCCTCCGCCGGCCGGAGCGGTGTTGGGGCCGGCGGGGGGCTGTGAAGGCGGCGGTGCCGCGGCGTTTCACCCCGTGCCGGGGGTTGGCGGCGCCGGTGGGTTCAGTGGTGGGTTTTGGCGCGGTGCCGGGAATGTTTCCTCTTCCCAAGCAGCTCGATGGTGGGGAGCGGGTCGGAGCCCAGCCGGCGCCACCGCCGCACGGCACGAAGGCGAGAGCGGTGCCGCCGTCGCTCAGAGCAGCTTTTGGCTCATCCCGGCACGGCTCGGAGCAGCTTTCGGCTCATCCTGGCACAGCTGGACGCCGGATTTCCCTCCCCGGTGCATCGTTTAGAGGAGTTGGTGCACGGACCCTCTCCGCCGTGAAATCCCCCTCCGGCAGCACCGACAACCCCGCAGCCGCATTCCCTGAGGATCCCGGCACCGGCAAAGCCCCGCATCCCAACAAAACCCCTCGGCATGGGATTTGCCGGCTTGTAGCCGCGGCCGTCGGAGCAGAAATGGAAGAGCTCCCTGGGGGACGCATCCTTTGCTCATTCCGGCACCGGGATGGGGAAAAGAAGCCACTTTCCTGCTCGTTAACACCGGGGAGGAGCGTTGCCGATCGCTTGAGGTTTCCTCGTGGAAGGAAATTGTCCACGATCCCGGCTCGAGTCCTGGGAGCTTTCCAGATCCTCCCCGAATTCCTCCCGAAATCCGGAGCGCTCGCTCCCCTTCTGAGTTTTCTTTGTGGGTGCGCTGTGTTTGGCACGTAAGCGGCGTTGCCGCGAGCGCGCCGGACCCTGCGCGCTTGGTTGCGGCCCGGGATGGAGCGAGGGAAACCGGCGCCGTCCTCTCGTGTCGCGGCTCCGCTCTGCCACACGAGGAAGAAGAAACCACATGGGGAGGAAAAAAACACGCAGCCGGAGTCTGCCCAGTTCAAGCGCGCTGGGAGCGTGCCGGACCCTGTGAGCTTGGCCGTGACCTGGCGTGGAGGAGGAGAAGTCGGTGCCGTCCTCCTACGTCACAACTCTGCTCTGCCAGCGAGGCAAAAAGAAAAAAACACGTGGGGGGGGAAAGAAAACACGCGGCCGGAGCCTGCCTGGCTCAAGCGCGCTGGGAGCGCGCGGGACCTTGCGCGCTTGGCTGCGACCTGGCATGGAGAAGGGAAAAACCGGTGCTGTCCTGTGTCACGACTGCGCTCTGCGACGTGAGGAATAAAAACCACGCGGGGGGAAAAAAAAAACACGCAGCCGCAGCCCGCTCGGTTGAAGCGTGCCTGGAGCGTGCCGGACCCTGCGAGCTTGGCTGCGAGCTGGCACGGAGAAGGAAAAACCAGCGCCATCCTCCTGCGTTGCCGACTCTGCTCTGCCGGCAAGGGAAAAAACGAAAAAAAAACACGTGGGGGGGGAAAAAAACACGCGGCTGGAGCCCGCCC